TCCCCAGATGAAAAAATGGGTGACTACTTATAGGAAAGTAGCAATTTCACTGTACAAAAGAGTTGTAAAGGATCAATAATCTGGTTGGGCAAAGGGACTTATCTTAAGGTTGATTTTTTTTATTTTCAAATTTTCATATTCTCTTTTCATCTACATTGCACAATTCACACGGGGAGGTTTGGGGGTGGGTGGGAGGCTCACCCAGATTATGGAAAGGCCTTGGCTATCCCATAACCCTTTACTCAGAATATCTCCACAGACCAAGGTTGGCAGCCCACTAAATAAATTACTCCTCACGGGTATCAGCCTGTACTTCTCTCTCTGGGCAGGATAACCGTCCATCACAACCCACCTCTAAATCCCACCTTCGGGGCCCCAATCGGTGCCTTTTCTTCCATAGACTCTTCCTCCTTCCCCCTGAAGGTCTTTGGCACTCTAGACCCTCAGGAATGATCATTTCCCAGTTTGTATTGAGGCAGGAGAGCGAGAAGCTACGAAAATCCCTAGGCAAATGGAACAGGGAAACTGAGACAGACAGCTGAACAAACTTGCTGAGCAATTTACAGCCAGACACAGAAGGTCACCCTCCTAGAGATACTATCTAGGCCTTAGATGTATTCCAGCTCCAGGCCCAGAAAAGCAGCAAAACCAGGTGGGTGACGCCAGGACCAGCTGCAGTGACTAATGACTCCCTGCCCTGGCGCTGACCAATCAGTAGAGACCACGACCCTGAAAGAGCGCACCTGGAAAACAGAGGACTATTCCACAGAAACACCCCCCCTGGGGTCTCCTTTAAGATTCCAGCCTGCCAGAGAGACAAAACCCTCAAGACAAAGGGCCCACTGTGTGTGCTTTCCCTCTGGGGAGCACACTGTGCTTTTCCCTTCCCCCTGCTTCTTCCCCCAAAGACAGGCATTTCCTACCTTCTAAGGGTGTCTCATGAGACTTTCAACCAGGGAAGCAATGGGCAGCAGCAGCTGGTCCTGGGCTAACCCCCTAAACCTGTCCCCAAGGTCCCCTTTCTCTTCCCAGTGAGCTAAGGCAGCCCTGCCTAGGCCCTCCTGTAGCTTTTGTGTGAAGCCCTTCCTTGTTTCACTGTCCCCAGCTTTAATAAATGTATCATCACAGTCACCTGGACACATGTGGCGAAATCTTTCCTGCAGGAAGTCAAGAGCCCACACACTACCGGATGGCCCTAGGCAGACTGGCTCAGAGCCAGGTCCCCTGTACTGTAACAGTGTAACAGGTACTGATGCATCTCCACTGAGGGTGGAAGCATGTGTCACACTGGCCAGGCCAGAGGGTGCACATGAACAGCCATAGGCATGGTTGGTTTGGTCCACAAAACAAAGTCACATTTTTTTGTTAGCTGCAACCATTGAGACATTTTACATTAAATTCCAGTCTTTAAGCTTCTCTAAAAAAGCTGGAAGTTCCATAGAAAAGAGGTCCTTACAAGAGCTATTTTGAGTCTGTGTTTAACCAAGAAGTTTTAGACACTCGGAAGTAACACGTGTCTGAGTCACTACTCATAGTACGTAGCCCAACTCCCAGTGCCAACTTATGGCTCATTTTCATAATGATTGCTTATATCAGATGTGTAAATTCAGTCCCACATAATCAATGCATTAGGACCTATTGATGAAATGTAACAACTATATTTTCTAACTGCCATTTTCAGTACCCACAGAAACATTTTTTTTTCAACTACAGTTGACATGCAATATTATATTAGTTTCAGGGGTATAGCATAGTGGTTAGACATTTATGTAACTTACGAAGTACCTCCCCCTCCCCATAAGTCTGGCACCACGCACAGTTATTGCAGTATCAGTGATGTATTCCCCGTGCTGCACTTGACATCCCTGCAACTTCTGTGTAACTGCGAATTCGTACTTCTTAATCCCTCCACCTCTTTCACCCAGCCCCCCAGTGCCTCTTCCCTCTGGCAACCGCCAGTCTGTTCTCTGGGTCTGTGAGTCCAGAACAACAGATTCGATTCAACAATCCTGTCATGACTCGCTTCCTTCAGCCCGACCCACATAAAAAGCCATTGTGCTCGCAGCAAACCAGTGTGCAACCTAGTCATTCCTCAGCAATGGTCAAAGGGTGGGAATGATGACGGCCCAAGTCAAATTTCCTAAATTCCTATTTTACACCACAGAAATAGCAAAATAAAGCCAAAATATCTTGATATAGGCTTTACAAATACTACGCAGGTACAAACTTACTTTGAAAGAGCTATGTGATGAACATTGCATATGCTTTTAAAGGTGTTTTTTTTTTCCTTGTAAGGACTGAACAGACAGATTTGACTAAAGACTTTGCAAGACACCAACTTCTTTTCTGTAACAAATCTCAGTATGGCAAGTGCAGGCTTTCCTACCTTTTGAAGGACCTTTGGACTGTTTTCATACTTCATAAGCCTCGCGTGTTTTCAAGGCCAGTCTCCAAACACACAGAGACCTCTTCAGCTGGCAAATGTTGGGTCTGCTCCAGAACCTACTCCTAATGACCCTTCTCTTCTACCTCAGTTTGCTAATGAGCTTCTGTGAAAGATATTCCCGTAAGTCAACCATGTCTATTTATAGTATCAATCACTATTTCAAATACATGGTATGCAATTTGGGAGCAAGCATTTAAATGGTTACAAATTTAAGACAGAGTATCTTCTTAAAAGTTGACAAAAAATTGACGCTGAATTTGGAAGAAATGTGACCAATTTTCTGTTCCTCGCCTCAGGTCTTACCCAGCTAAAATTAAATACTTCTGAAGAGAGAAAATTCCTCTGACAAAAGTCTTTGCCTAACTTGGAATTCTATGGAACTGGACAGAAACAGTCCAACCCTGGCCAGGTAGCTCAGCTGGTTACAGCGTCATGGTCCGAACCCCAGTCAGAGCACATTCAAGAATCAACCAAGGGATGCATAAATAAGTGGAACAACAAACGGATCTCTCTCTCTCTCAAATCAATCAATAAAAAAACTTTGAGAAATAATACAAAGTTTTTCCATCTCAGAAATCAACCTGACCACTCTAAAAAGGTAAATTATGTTATCTGAATGACTGTATTTTGCCATGCGTAATATGCACTTTTTGCCCAAATTCTTGAGAGAAAAATAAGGATGTGGATATTGGACTTCTGCCAAGATGGAGGCGTAGGTGGAAGCACTGTGCCCTCTCGCACAACCAAGTTTAAAAACAACAAAGTTTTAGCAACAAAAACAGAGCCAAAACACAGAAAATTGAACTAACGGAAGTCTGACAACAATGAACTCTTCAGCCAAACCGGTAAGAGGGCAGAGCCAGCAGCAGAGCAGGGTCGGGCAGGAAAGATCCACCGGAACAACCCAGGCTTGCGACCCAGGTGCACCAGCAGCTGTGGGCAGATCCCAGGTGTGGAGTAACGGGTGGACCCAATGAGGGCTGACCACGGTCACACGTTTGCGCACAGATAAACCAGTGAAGGAGCGAGTGGTGAGACAGACTGTGCAGGCCCCAGTGGCAGGAAGCAGCAGAGGGAACTGCCATTGTCCCCACATACAGCGTCACAAACCAGTGACCTGGGTGGCCCCCCCACTGGTGAATATCTAAGGCTCTGCTCCTCATATCTAACAGGCACAAAGAGATCAAAACATGGCTCAAGAACAATTCAGAGCCCCAGAGCCGATAAATCTAAGTGATGAAGAAATAGCCAAACTTTCAGATGCACAGTTCAAAACACTGGTGATCAGGATGCTCAAAGAACTGGTTGATTTTAGTCACAAATTAGAGAAACATATGAAGGTTAAACTAACTGAAATAAATGGAAATGCACAGGAAACCAATAGTAATGGAAAGGAAACTGGGACTCAAATCAAAGGAGTGGACCAGGAAGAGGAAAAAAATGACCAAACAGAAAAGGATGAAGAAACAAGAATTCAAAAAAATGAGGACAGGCTTAGGAACCTTCAGGACATCTTTAAACGTTCCAATATCTGAATTATAGGAGTACCAGAAGGGGAAGAGAACAGCCACGAGTGGAAAACTTATTTGAACAAATAATAAAGGAGAATTTCCCCAAACTGGCAAAGGAAATAGACTTCCAGGAAATCCAGGAGGCACAGAGAGTCCCAAAGAAGTTGGACCCAAGAAGGAACACACCAAGGCACATCATCATTACATTAACCAAGATTAAAACGAAGGAGAGAATTCTAGAGCACCGAAAGATAAGGGAACAGTCACCTACAAAGGAGTTCCCATCAGACTGTCAGCAGATTTCTCAAAAGAGACCTTACAGGCAAGAAGGGGCTGGAAAGAAGTATTCCAAGTAAGGAAATCCAAAGACCTACATCCAAGATTGCTCTATCCAGCAAAGCTTTCATTTAGAATGGAAGGACAGATAAAGTGCTTCTCAGATAAGACCAAATTTAAGGAGTTCATCATCACCAAGCCCTTATTATATGAAATGTTAAAGGGCCTTACCTAAGAAAAAGAAGATAAAAAAGATGAACAGTGAAAGGACAGCAAACTCACAGTTATTAAGAACCACACCTAAAACAAAAGCAAACTAAGAGGACAGCTAGATCAGGAGCAGAACTATAGAAATGATCACATGGAGGGTTAGCAACAGGGGAGTGGGAGGAGAATGGGGGAGCAGGTGCAGAAAATAAGTAGCATAGACAGTAAGTAGAAAATACATAGGGGGAGGGCAAGAATAGTATGGGAAATATAGAATCTAAAGAACTTGTGACACATGGACATCAACTGAAGGGGGGAATGCTGGGGGAGGGGTGTGCAGGGTGGAGGGGAGTGAAGGGGGAAATAGAACAACTGTAATGGCATAATCAATAAAATGTATTTTAGAGACTTCCGCCAAGATGGAGGCATAGGTGGAGATACCTTGCTTTCTCACACAACCAAGTTTAGAGTCAACTAAATATTAGCAACAGAAAACACAGCCAGAACACAGAAAATTGAACTTTTCGGAAGTCTGATAACAACAAATTCTTTAGCCTGACCTGTAAGCGGAGCAAAACCAGCAGCTGGCGGAGCGGGGTTCCACAGGAAAACTCGGTCAGACGGACTCAGGTACGCAGGACTCAGGTGCGCAGAACCCAGGTGTGGGGTTGCAACCTGTGGACCTAGGGAACGACCCAGTGAGTGACCATGGGGAACCAGCGAGGGAGCAGGGCTGAGATTTGACTGTGGTTGCACATTCGTGCGCTGATAGACCAGGGAGGGAGTGGGTGGTTAGACGGGACCCCGCAGGCCCCAGCGGCGAGCAGCAGCAAGGGCACCGCCATTTTCCCGCTCTGACCACGCCCCCACATATAGCGTCACGACCCAGCGACCTTGGAGTCCAAGGCTCCGCTCCTCACACTTAACAGGTGCGAACAGACCAAAAATGGCTCAAGAAGATCTCAAAGCCCCAGAGCCTATAAATCTAAGCGATGAAGAAAGAGCAAAACTCTCAGACGCACAGTTTAAAACACTGGTGATCAGGATGCTCACAGATCTGGTTGATTATAGCCACAAATTAGACAAACATATGAAGGTGAAACTAATTGAAATGAATGGAATTGCACAGGAAACCAATAGCGATGAAAAGGAAATTGGGACTCAAATCAATGGAGTGGACCAGAAGAAAGCAAATAATGGCCAAACAGAAAAGAGTCAAGAAGCAAGAATTCAAAGAAATGAGAAGAGTCTTAGGAACCTCCAGGACATCTTTAAACGCTCCAACATCCGAATTATAGGGGCACCAGAAGGGGGAAAGGCACAGCCACCAGTGGAAAACGTATTTGAACAAATAATAAAGAAGTTCCCCAATCTGGCAAAGGAAATAGACTTCCAGGAAATCCAGGAAGCTCAGAGAGTCCCCAAGAAGTTGGACCCAAGAAGGAACACACCAAGGCACATCATCATTACATTAGCCAAGATTAAAATGAAGGAGAGAATCCTAGAAGCAGCAAGAGCTAAGGGGACAGTCACCTACAAAGGAGTTCCCTTCAGACTGTCAGTGGATTTCTCAAAAGAGACCTTACAGGCAAGAAGGGGCTGGAAAGAGGTATTCCAAGTCATTAAAAACCAAAGACCTACAACCAAGATTACTCTATCCAGCAAAGTTTTCAATTAGAATAGGACAGATAAAGTGCTTCTCAGATAAGACCAAATTCAAGGAGTTCATCATCACCAAGCCCTTATTATATGAAATGTTAAAGGGACTTATCTAGGAAAAAGAAGTTAAAAAAACATGAACAGTGAAAGGACAGCAAACTCACAGTTATTAACAACCACACCTAAAACGAAAGCAAACTAAAAGGACAGCTAGATCAGGAGTGGAAACATAGAAATGAAGATCTCAAGGAGGGTTAGCAACAGGGGAGTGGGAGGAGGAGAAGGGGAGAGAAGGTACAGAAAATAAGTAGCATAGACAGTAGATAGAAAATAGATGGGAGGGCAAGAATAGTAGTGGAAATATAGAATCTAAAGAATTTGAGACATTGGTCATAAACTAAAGGGGAGGTAATGGTGGGGATGGGGGTAGGGTGAAGGGGAATGAAGGGGGGAATAGAACAACTGGAATTGCATAATCAATAAAAAAATTAAATTGAATTAAAAAAATATTTTTTAAAAAGAAAAAAACAATAAGGATGTGCATTGTACATCGGTGGCACTAATTCTGTGTCTATATAAATGTTTTTAATTCTTTTATTTATGCTTATTCGTTAAATGTGTAACTCTAGAAAATAACAATATCCATATACAAAATAATTCCTTGGGATATGATCATCAGTTTTGTTTTTAAATATAAATAAATAGATAAATAAATAAATAGAATTGAGAAATTAAAACAAAAGATTTTTTTCCTGAAACTTTGGGTCAAAAATGTGGGTGCACATTACACACGGCAAAATATGGTACATTTCAGTAAAACTGTTTTTTTTTTTAAGTTGGCCTGTTTTAAACACAGTTTATTACTTTAGTTTGGTGTTAAGCCCTTTTAAATAGCATTTCTTTTTCAAAACTGTTATCCCAATTCAATACGAAAAACCTGAACTTGAAAGCTGTATCATTAATTTTCATTCGGCTTTTTGGTGACTACCAGTAGTGTTTTCCCAGAATAAGACTTTCCCCACCTGATCACCTGTTTTTCACAGACCTTTCTCAGTCATAACAAGCTAACACTTTGAGGAACGTGAGCTCTGAGGAGAAAGCTCTTGCTTGAAGGGAGCCACTGTGGCCAGATCGCAGAGCTCACTGTTCAATGAACTCCGCTCAACTGGGGAGGGACGGGGGAGTTTACTGATCGTAAAACATACCATAAAACCAGGCGGCTACTAGCCAAGCACTCATAAATTTGGATCACCTAGTAATTTCTCTAGAAAAGAACTGATTCAGAAGTTTGATTTAGGCAGATGGCAGTAGGCAGGAACCACACAGTTCAAGATATGTCTGGGTGCTGGGTGATTCATACATTACCTCGCCCTTGCCAAAAAGCGACAGTTTCAAGTGCATGTAATCTCCACTCTATTATCAGAAATATTTACCTAAAAAAAAAGTCTACCTAGACTAACAAGCTACTAACCAAAACCACGAAGCCACGTGCACGGAACAAGGGAATGAAGCAATGAAGGACTGAAGGATGAGAGTGTGTTCCGCTAGAAACAAGAGCTCTCACACAGGGCAGGCAGAGGGCTCTCTATTTTGACTCTCAAGGAATACTTGGCACCGTCTAGAGCTCTTGGTATCTGGGAAGGAGAGGTCAGGGTGCTGCTAAACATCCTACAGCTAACCCAGATGCCTCCTTTCATTTTTGCATGACTCTGTTTCTTTCTCTTTTTTTTTCCTAAAATAGAATTTTTTAAAAATAAGTTTCCTTGGTACTTGTGAGAGACAATTCAATTTTAAAGCGCTTTCAACTACAACTTTAAAAAATGTACCTGTGTTTCGTAACCAAGTATCCTTTGACTGTAGCTATTGAAGTTATTCGCATCAGTTAATTTGGGGGAAGGAGGAGACAAAGCTTCATCTGTGAAAATCTCTATCATGGGTGGGGTGCAAGGAAAAAAACAAACCAACCTTTGGTCAAACTAAGGGATCAGCTCTCTGATAATACATTTAATCTGACCTGGATCATGAGCTGAGCCTTTTCTCTGCGTTTTCTAGGGTTCCTTATACACTCCATCCCTTCCTGGCTCTTTTCATTACTACTACATTCTAAAACCTCCTGTCTGCATTTTTAAAATGGAGGAGACTCTTAAAAGCTCGGTAATTTGTTCTGACTCTGTGAACTTGCATTAGTTCTTCCCTTGCCACAGAAAAGGTGGTTATCCTGTAACTAACAAGTCAGGCTCAGGTGAGCAGTAAGAATTTGAATACAAATAACTCTCTCTTTACAGCTAGAATATTTAAAATAGTTCTCCCCCTTCCCAGTAAATTTCATGCACATAAAAAGAATTTTAATTCTTAGGCCAAATTCATTTCTTAGCTACTTTGAAATACTCTGGCCTTCTCAAAGAAGAAAGCTTTAATCACACTGTCTTCCTCAGGAAGGTCACTTGGTTCATGTAAATTAGTATTTTCCTGCAGCTGAGCCCACTCTGGTTTCTTTATGAGTGTAATTACCTTAATTGCCTTCTCAGCGCTTTATGCTAGGAAAATGGGAACTACTTGAAACTGTTGAAGATAAGTGACATTTAGAATGTGATGAACTTGTGAACAAGGTTCGAATTTATTCTAAATCAAAAATCTACACAATGTGCACAATGTGATGAGGCACCAAATGGTGTTTCGACTGAATTTTTTCTGTGTACCAAATATAAGTCATAGAGTAGTGAATAAAAAATACCAAATATAATAATGAATGATAGAAAATTTTTGTTCTGCAAGGAGAAACTTTATGTCTTGAAAGTGTGTTAAAACCGGTTCAGAGAGCTGGCTCTGTCATCGGTCTGGCCTGGGCGAAAATCCTGCCTCTATTCCTTACAGCTCTGGGTGAGCTGCACGACCTCCCTGAGGCAGTTTCTTTATAAAATTGGGATAATGAAAGTATTCATTTGGTAAGATTATGAAGGGTTAAATTAAGTAATGAGTTTAAAGCATTACTTAAGTAATGTACATTTACATATTCAGTACCTAAGTACATAAGTACATCTACATATTCAGTACTCAGTAATGCTAGCTACAAATTTGATACACCAGTACATACATACCCATATTGTGCCATGTGTAATTTTTTGCCCAAATTTCTGAGGGAAAAATAAGGATGTGCATTACACATGAGTATCATGATTGCATACCATGGGCACAACAATCCCGTGTGTAATGTGCACAAAAACACGCGTGCACATCTTGCAGGGCAAATGTGGCGTATGGGGTGTGTATTTTAATTGGTAATTGGAGTTGGCCCTGGGGCCTTTTGAAGATATCTGAAAAAACTAATACAGCAAAACTTTTAGACAGATACCTGTGGTATTGACTTGAATAGAACCAGCAGATCTCATATTCTAAATGTTTGCATTTGCTCCTAAAATCTTGCAAAATGAACTTTTTAAAAATGAACAAGAGAATATGTGTATTGACTTTAGAGAGGAAAGGAGAGAGAGAAGGAGGGAGAGAGATCAATGTGAGAGAAAAACATCGATCAGTTTCCTCCAGTACATGTCCGGACCAGGGATTGAACCTGCAACATTTTGGGGTATGGACTATGTTGTAACCAACTGAGCCACCTGGCCAGGGTGCAAAATGAACTTAAAAAAAATGTTTGTATTAGTTTTAGGTGTACAACATAGTGGTTAGGCAATCGTATACTTTACAAAGTGAACCCCCTGATATTTCCAGTACCCACCTGGCACCATACACAATCATTACAATATTATTGATTGTATTTTCTATGCTGCACTTTACATCCCTGTGGGGGACTGGTTTGTTTTGGCCTGGCAAATGTGACTCAGCTCTGTATGGAAAAAACCTGCAGAAGAGAAGTGGTGGGCAGGAGCCTGACCTTCAAACTGATTTTTCCCATGGGAATCAAGCCTAGAAAATGCATACAGATTGTTATAGTTTGCTCTTGCTAAAACTCTATCACCCTGGTCTAAAACAACAAATGTGTATTGTCTATTTTCAAGGTAATTTCCAA